TTTTTTTTTTTTTTTTTTGCCCCCCTGTTCTTTGGGGATGGGGGGGGGGGGGGGAGGGCATGCACAGGATGTTCATTGGATTACATTTTTGCAGCAATCATGGCCAGAGCTATGAGACACTTATTAATTTGGTCCATGTCAGACCAGGCCTGTGGAACACCTCCTGCTGACAATACATCAATAAGGTGGAGAAGAAGCTGTGGCAGGAAGTGTTCCAGGCTGTGACATCAAAAATGGGCAACCCTCACTGATAAATAGCAGAAGCTTTCTTTGAAAAATGGATGTAAGTGGACAGAAAATGTATGTAAACTAATGTAAACATAACTGAACTACAGATGTGAGGATGTGTAAACTAATATGAACTGTAAAAATGTAAATGTAAAATTACCCTACACAAAATGGCAAAAATTAAAATAGATAGGACCCGTCTTAGGACCCATTTCGCCACATGCACTTCTTCTTCACGTTTTAATAGGGTATATCGTGCTGCACTCCTTACCGGTTTAGAATAAACCTGTATGAAAGGTGGGAGCTCTTAGTGACCACGGATGGCGCAGTGAAGTACATCAAAATTCAGGAAGGTCGCCAGCACACCAATATTCTACATACATATACATATATATTCTACATACCAATAGTCATTCTGAGCCTGATGAAGGGGACCCCGCGCGGCCCCCGAAAGCGTTTGCTTTTGTATGATGATTGTATGCCACTAAATGGACTAATCTCACGTTATATTGGTGTGCTAGTGACGTTCCTGAATTTTGATCTTTTTCACGTTTGTCGCATGTTCAGGACCCCATTGAAATCAGTAAGGGCACGTGGTAAACGTGGAAAACAAATGCGCATGAACACGCACAAACGTGGTGCCCATTCAGGTGTGCAAGGGGCCTAACACCCTCAGTGGACAAATAAAAATAAAAATAAAAAAAGGTGCATACCACCAAACTTTCTGAGATGAGAAAAAGGGACATCTTTCAGAACAATGTATTGAGGCAATGCACACACCCCTGCCACCCCCCCCAGCATGACTTGACTGGATCGGTGCTATGTATTGATGATCACTTTAGGATATCTAGTTTTGATAAAGCATTATTCCAGAATTATGATTAGATTAGAACTTTCACTTTCCAATGCAAATTTCAACCTGAATGGCTGTTTTGAAGCAACATAGACAGTTCATATGACAGATATTCTGGTAAATGAGCACAACTGAGTTTATTCTTCCTCTTTGTGCTGGTCAGGTTTGGAGGAATACAACAGAGACCGAAGAGTACCTGTTATTGTCAGCCTGTGGGGATTCTGCTCCGGCTCCTGTGGTCTCCCCAGGAAGAATCCTTAAAATAACCTTCCAGTCACAAGATAATCCTGCCAGTGGTTTCTCAGCCAATTTCACCAGCAGTGAGTACAGCAGTGTCCAAAAAAGTATTACTATATCGTCATTGCCACTGTGCAGTATCCCAAGAAAAAACATTTAATATATTGGAGCTAACCTGTCCTTAGACGTGGTGACTGCATTCGTTTTATTTTTATTTGCGGTTTTGTAGGATGCGGTGTTAACTTTACCAAGCCGAGTGGTCGAATCGTATCTTCAAACTATCCAGACAGATATGACAACAATTTGAATTGCATCTATACCATCCAAGCTGAAAACAACATGTTTATTGTCCTGACCTTCCTCAGCTTTGAAGTAGAATGTGAGTGTTGTTACATATGTAAAAGTAAACAATGTGTGTAATCCAATTTACATAGCATTAAAGTTAACATTAGCCCGATGAAGGGTGGACCTTATATTACCCGAAGTGTGTTGGCTTGTTTTTAAAGGAGTTGTAAAGTCCCAGCAAATACTCTCCTGGTATAACATCAACGTTGTAATAGGAAGACATACTGGAGTTGTTTTTGATAATGCAATCAAAGCTTACTTGGAAAAAAACCCTTTTATGTAGTGAGTACTGCCTGCCGTCTGCCCATCACTTTCACCAACTTCCTGCATTCCCAGTGTGCTTTGTATCTCTTCCCCTGCTGCTTGATGTGATGCAATCTCTATTTCTCAAGACTACATAACCCATAATGCATTGCTTCCAGCAAACAATGATAATATTACGTTGTTCAGACGTTGAGATGTAGTTCAGACTACAGGCTTAGTTAGAGTGGTGACACAAAGAAGTTCATATTCACAGGGCTGAATGAAATTTAGGAAGTACATCATCTAAGAATCTCCAATAAGTAAGTTTACAAACTTCTAGATCAAAATGGTTATTAAGAGTGGGATTTATGGAATATAGAAAGAGAAATGTATTTTTCATTTTTGACCATAGATACCCTTTAGGGAAACCTTTGATGAGGCAATCTTGTTCCCCCCCACCTTCTGACAATAAAAATCTGACTTATCTAACCCTTCCCTAGTCTGTCCAAAACACTGTCCAAATTCAAAGCACTGTACATCCCTGACAGTTAGATTTATGTTAATGTGATCACAGCATCTATTTTGCTCTGAAATGGCAACACGACTTCAGAGAGCAAAAGCCATCTCTGTGGTCACTCTGTCTACTCTACAGCACTGTGATCTTCATAGTTTCAATATCATTTTCCTCCTACAGAATTTGATGGTTGGCATGCCTGCAATCCTTGTTCCTAAATCCTTACAATTGGCTGCTAAATGATTCTGTTTAGTGGAATTTCAAATTAGCATAACATAGTTTTTTTCATTTCCAGCATCACCATTCTGCACAAAGGACAATGTTAAAGTGTTCAGTGGCGTGGCTCCTTCAGGTAGTCTTCTGGAAACATTCTGCGGCAGCTCACTTCCTGTATCGCTTAGCAGCAGAGGAACAATGTCTATTTCTTTCAGAACTGATTCCGATATCTCCATGCATGGATTTGTGGCAAGCTACAGGGTGATCCGTAAGTATTTACTGCACTTTGCTTTATATGATCACATAGGATGTGACTGCTTGATAGAGCACACTGGACAAATAAAAAACACAACAATGCAATTTCTCACAGCGTTTAGTCATATCCAGAGTAGGTTAGAAAATGAGACAATTGACAATGTCAATCAGCAGAAGAGCGGACCTGAGAGAGAAAGTTCTCTCTCAAGTCCGCTCTTCTGCTGATTGACATCAGGCAGTGGGCGAAGCAATAGCCAGCCTGCTATTGGCTAATGCAATTTAAAATAGCCAATAGCAGAATGGCTAATGTTCCCGCAGAGGAGCAGACCTGAGAAAGTTCTCTCTCAGGTCTGCTGGTGCATTAGCCAGCCTGCTATTGGCTATTTCAATATGAAATTATTTACTTCTGCCCACTGCCTGTTGGGCAGCGAGTGTTTCTTTTTTTTTTGACGGGTTGGCGGGCATCAGGATTCCAAAATTGGGACAATTTACATCGCTGGGTGACGTGATCGACATTGTGGGACATTTTCCAAAAAAATTTAAATAAAAAAGCGTGGGGTCGACCCCAAAATTCCATACCAGATCCTTGATCCAAGCGTGAACCTGGTAGGGCAAGAAAGGGGGGGGGGTGAGCGTGTGCCCCCTCCCTCCTGCACCATACCAGGCCACATGCCCTCGACATTGGGAGGGTGCTTTGCCAGTCCTCATGGCAATGCCAATGAGGACAAGGGCCTCTTCTGCAAAGAATAGAAAGCCTGCAATTATGTAGAAGTATGTAATGGTAGATTGTCATTACTAAACATTTCTAAAGGTGTGTTTGTTGTTATTTTAAAGATATGGGTAAAGGTCTGCTTTAAGTATGGTACCTTCATGATAATGTACATTACTGAAAAGTAAAGTCTTACACCATTTTTACTCTGTGCATGCATATGGTATGATTTTTACTGTTTTTTTTTATACCTGAATATGCCTTGAAATACTTTTTTCTCAGTGGAAATCCACTTCTTGCCCTCCCACTGGAGTGTTCTATTCTGGCAGAGATGACTGAAGCCCATACTTCATATCACAAGTGTTCTCATGCAGAGTCTGTTAGTAAAATGTCTAAGTGAATGTTCATTTTACATTTTACTTCAGCTTTAAAAATAACATGTGTACAGGTTGTAGAAATGTGCCTATGTATGCATTATTAACAAGAAGTAAATAAGCTTTAAAACAAGCCCTCAGTGAACTTTGTAGCTTATGCACCATAGAGCTATTCACCCTCAAAGATTTCAGTATGGTTTAAAAGGCAACTGAAGCCCAAACTCCTTTTTTTTTAATGTTTTGGATAGAATGGAGAGGTATTCTGTCCCTCTCTATTTGCCCTGGTGACCGTTATCACTGAAAGTGAAAGAAAATCCCACATTTTGAGTTGTCTTCAGAACAGGAACAGATAAGAAATCTTCCAATGGGACACTAGTTCTGGTGATTCTGCAAACCTCTCATTTGAGGGATTTCCTCTCACTTCCTGTTGTAGCAGATGGCAAAGAAAACAACTGATGGGTTAAAACCCTCTCTTACTTTATCCAAAAGTTAAAAAAATAAGTTTTGGCTTCAGTTCTTGTTTAATAAACAAAATCTTCCAAGATGTTGCAGATGCAGGTCAATTCAAGGACCATGCGTGAATTAAGTAGATCCGACTATATGGTTATTTCATTAAAACAAAATACATTTTGTGATTAAGATAATTCTAGAAGTCTAATGAAAACTGCAGCCTGACTCAGTGAAACACTAATTTTGGAAGTGAGCATAAAGCGTTATTACATTGTAGTCCTTGCAGCCAACATAATTATTCCCAGATGTTGGAAAAGTCAACAGTTCCATCTTTATGAGAAGGATCAAAGTAATAGATACTTTTATAACCTTTAAATAATAGAGATGGTGTGTGATAAATACATCTTATTCATTCCATGCTGTCTCCTGAACTGCTTGAATCAAGTTAAAGGAGAATGATAGGGAGAGTGAAATACACTCATCCCCCTAGTTAGAGCCGACATGTGACACACTGCAGGTGTCACACGTCGTCTCCATTGATTGAGAACTGAGCGAACACATACCGCTCATCGCTCAGATCATGATCTTCTCCCTGCAGAGAGCGGTGACTGATTCCCCTCTCTGTACTTCCAGTGTTCATTGGAGGGACAGACCAAGGGAGGAGGTGGGCACAGCTGGCTCTGGCTCTAGAGAGGCAGAGCCAGCTGTCAATCAGGGACCAGGGTGTATCCAGACAATATTGTTGGGATCTTAAATGGCTGCAGCACCGTCAGCATATAGCGGGCAATAGCCTGCTATTTGCTGAGTTTTGGATCACAGGAGGACATTAGTAAATGTCCTCCGGCAACCCAAAAGAGAACTACGGCCATAAAAGGTTTGGTCATAGTTCTCTTTTAATCAACTCTATTAGGTTTATACTGTTGTCTTTGTCCCCAGTGGGAGATTTCTCCCTAATTGCTTGCCTCCCTGTCACCATGACAGGAAGCAAGGGAAAATCTCTCCAGCAGAGACACGAGCAGCATTAAAACACCTTTTTAAAGGCTAAGTTTGCCTTTCTGACCATGATTCATGTTACAACTATAGCATACATTATGGTCAAATTGCAACTCTCCCCTTCCCCCCACTTACCTGAATCATGAAGTTCTCCTTCTAACAGACTACTGCTGTTGTTTGAAGTCCCTCAGCCACCTCTGCAGAGTGACTTGTAGTTCTCAACAGAATACAAATGCAGTGACATCACCACACTTGTAGTCCATTTATTCTCCCTCCTGTCCCTGTTACTGAATGTCCATACCTTGGTACGAACAGGAAAGGGAGGGAGAATCTGCAGGAGCCAGAGCATTGCACCCATGATCCACTGATCATGGTTGCAATGCTTTACTGGCTCCAATGCAAAAAAAAAAAATAGGTGCCCATTTTTTCTTTTATGAATTTGTGCATGTATTTTTTTTTTAAATAAAAGGTGGGATTTCCTTTAACTGCATTAGAAAAGAGAACTTGTCATGTTCCTTAATTGTGCAATTTTCCTGCCGATACATCAGCGCATCCCCGTTTTGTTTCCTCCTGCTGGGGGCTGCTCTGTGTCCCAGCGGGGAGGAGAGAGACTGTGACAGCCGGCCGAGCGCTGCGGGAGGAGAGCGCTGTGAGCGGCCGGCGTCTCTCCTCCCACACCGCTCAGCCTCCTATCACAGTCCGGCAGAGAGGTGTGTGGGCGGAGGCTGGGCTCTCCTCCCTGCTCCGCTGGCTCAGCCTCCTTTGACAGCTGTCAGGATGGAGAGCGGTACAAGCACTCAGGGATCAGTGATCGCTGAGTGTTTGTAGATAGTTGAGGACAGAGTATGGTTACTATATCCTCAATTATGAATGAATGGGAGTGATCTACCTCACCTTCTGTTCATTCATAGTTGTGGTTATAGTAACATACTTTTTTCTCATGTTATGAATGAACAGGAACACTCGGTATAGAGGATTCCTGTTCGTTGATAACAGGGGATACAGAAAAAGAGATTAACCACTTGCTGACTGTGGTATTTATACCCCCTTCCTGGCCAGGCCATTTTTCAGTATTCCGCTCTGCGGTATTTTGACTGACATGTATTCCGTCATGCAACGCTGTACTGAAATGAATTTTATACCATTTTTTGGGGACAGATAGAGCTTTATTTTGGTGGTATTTAATCACCACTGGGGTTTTTATTTTTTACTGTATAATGAAAAAAGTACCGAAAATTTTGAAAAAAACCTGTTCTCCCTACGTTATGTTATAAAACATTTATTATTACCCAATTTTTTTGTAAAATATAAAAGACGGGGTCATGTCGGGTAAATAGACACCAAAGATGTCGAGCTTTAAAATTGCGTGCACCCATTAAATCGCAAAAAACTACCATACTCAAAATTGACCATAGCCAACGCTTTAAAAGCTTTTACCGCTCATCAGTTTAGTGTTATCAGTGATTGATGACCCTAGAATTATTGCTCTCACTCCAACGTTCTCGGCGATATGTAACATGTGCGGCGCAATGGATGTAATCTGCGTTTTCGCAGGTAGGCGGGCTTGACGCATGTTTGCTTGTGCATGCGGGAGCGAGGGACTTACATTTTTTCATTTTTTTAAATTTATTTTTTATATCTTTGATATGTGATTTTAAATTTTTTTTGTAACTTACATTTTTTATTACAATCCCTTTTTCTATTTTAAAAGGGAAATATCAGGGGGTTTTATATATTTTTTTAAATGAATTAATAACTAAAAATAAATATAAAAAATTAAAAAGTTTATAAAAACAAATAAAAATAAAATATTGTAAAAATGTGAAAAAAAATAAAACACATTTTTGGTTTCGGTTTTCGCCTGACAATTTGTTTTATTTCGGTTTCGTTTGGGTTTTAAAATTTCCATTTCAATGCACCTCTAATATATATATATATATTGTAAATGTGTGTCTTGGTGTTTATTATTCTACTTTGTAAACTGATGTTGTACAATAAAGCTGTAAGTTGTAATTCTTCCTGTGTTTCAGCTTGCGGAGGATCATATAACAGCACTTATGGAGTTATAAGAAGCCCAACACATTTGTCCACCAATTACCACAGTAATATGAACTGCACCTACCACATCACTGTGCAGGAAAACAGGATTATTGAGTTGAAGTATGTCTGTATTTCTATAACATGATCATTAATGTACACAAATAGAACACTTAACACCAATACTTCATATATATTGGGGTCTCTGCTATGGAGATCTCTGCTCTTACTTCAAACACTTGCCCTGGTCATCACAAGGTTCTGGCATTGGACTGTTAAAATGCAGGAGGCAGGGCTCAGACAGCAAAGGGGAGGAGCATAGCACTGACTTGCACAGAAGTCAATGTCATGTAAACATCCTGTAACTAGGATCCAGGGTTCCAACTACACAAGAACTGATTTGAATACTGAACTATAATCTGCACATTACCATTATTGTTAGTTTATAACTTTGGAGGACCTGAGAGGGTCACTTTGGACAACAAGGTACAGGCAACAATAGGTAAAATGGGTATTGTCAGGTTTTCAAAAATCTTCCTGGCCAGCTACATAAATGCTAGCACACAAGTTTCACTAATGCAGTAACACTACTTTTTACTACTTGTATTTGTTTATTATATTACATGAACTGGTTTATTTGTATCTGTTTACAGGTTTAATGATTTTGACTTAGAGACATCCTCAAGCTGCATGTATGATTACGTTGCGGTCCATGATGGTTCGGACATCTATGGTCCTCTGCTAGGCAGGTTCTGTGGGAATACCCTGCCTCATATTATAAAGAGCACAAGCAATAATTTGTTCCTGGTGTTCCGTACCGACCTTTTGAATAATGCTGGAGGGTGGAGAGCATCATTTAGACAGACACTAGGTAAGAAATTATATGAACAAGACTTAAAAGACTTTTGATGCAGAGAAACAATGGATGGCATATGTGAGACTTACTGGTGATCATTGCTATCCAAGCATTGGCTCTATAGTCTAAAGGCGGAAATTAAAATGACACCCGCACACATTTTGACTTTGCATCCAACTGAATTCTGGGGGTCCATGGAACTTGTGATTGTATTTGGAATGCTGAGAGTGAACAAAATACCTGGTTAGTCCAGGTATAGAGAAAGTGGATCCTCATAGACTTCTTTGAGACTGTCTTAGGTGATGCCCAATAGAAGTCTATAAAGATTCACTGCTATAGCCAGTGTTAGAATATTTTTTTAGGGGGACTAGGTAGGCAAGATAAAGTATATTTTATATGAAAGTATGCATATGATTTAAAAATACAATAGCTCATGTTGCAATCATGAATAGAATGCTTTAAGAAAAAGTGGTGGGATAATTTAGCGTTTTGTCTCCATGCATTCCTCTACAATGGTTACATTATTCAGTGTACCTTTTCTCTGATTGAAGTCATGCTTTCCAAACTCTATACTGTGTTTTCTTCCTCCCTAGAGTGCTATTAGATACATGAGCTCACATATGCAATGACCTCAAGTTTCAACCTGCTAATAATGACCTAGATAAAGACAATTGTATTTTTTCAGGCTGCAGATATGGTACACATAACAAGTAAAAGATAGAAGTTCTTGTAACAAGATATAATGGACCATTCAGTAAGCATTTGTATTACAGCTACCAGGTATATCCCACATTGCCATCATCTGTTAGAGTCACAAAATTTGTGAATATATGGGCATATTGGACTGTCTGAGCACTCCAGGTTTGGCTACAGGTGACCAAGGAGCAACAGACATGGCCATACTTTGTGATGGCCAATTCTAACCAATTGGAGGTTGGGTTCTCATGAAGGATGTGTGGATCATAGGGTCAACAATAATCCCAAGCATAGATAAAACCTTCATACGACTGCATTTTCAAACCCAACTGATCGTTAGCTGAGTGGGTATCATTTGCTGTACATGTTGGGCGCAGCCTGTCCAGCTTAAAAAAATGAACTCTCTGGAGGTCCGTGTGTCCTCCCTGCCCTGCATTGTAATGCTGAAGTCTCTGTAAGACTCTTCGACACTTCTGGGAGTGTGGGATATATATGTCTCCCTCACTTCTGAGTCCTGTCCTGGTATAGGGGGTGAAGAGAGGAACCAAATTGCAAGGAGGGAGAAATAGGTATCTGACATTCCTGGAAGTGTCAAATGGCGAAAAGACTGATGGGGGCTGTAGCGCTGCAATGCGAAGGAAGGAAAAAGTGCATAGTTCATATATGTTATGAACATAGAAACACAGCAGTGCCCACATACAATAAAGAGGCAGACCTTTGTTATTACAACTCGCCCATTATATGGGACAATACTAATAACATAACACAAACTGCAGACTGCACTGTAATAGCATATGCTAAGATATGCCTATAAAACAATGTACATGTCAAACACCAAAGCACAGCAAAAGATACAAAATCACACCAAAAAATGTTTTTACCCAGAGACCTGGTGTACGGAAAAAAGGAGAATTGAGACCAACATTTTTGGGGTAGTCTCCCCCCCTTTCTCAAGGAAGGAGATATGGTCCACCAGAGATGTGAGTAAAAGCTTTTGCAAGAGAATTCCAACTCAATATCTATATTTTTAAGCAATTGACGGGGTCAGTGGGGCCATGGGCAGCGGCTGGTTCCCACCAGCCCTGTTGGGCTGTCCCATTGCATTGACAAGTCAATTTGCCTTATGTGCTATTGCTTCAGTTCACCTAAACGCACAGAACACTTGGTGTGCACTGAAAAGAAGTAGGAAATATTGCATTTCTGTGCAACATGTTTCAAAACATTATAGCAATTTGCATGTTGCTGCCACACAATTAAATGAAGTGGCAAAATAAAAAGGAAAAGAACAGTAGTCACTGTGATGCATTTTAAAAAGCACCGTAGTGCACAATACACACCAGCCTGTGCGTTATACGTTCCTTAATAAATGTTCGCTGGTGTGAATAAGCACTAAAAACTTTACAGAAATATTTGCAGTTCCGAGATCTATGCAAAACGGGAAAAAAAAAAAAAAAGATTTTAACTGGAGTTGGACTTTTACAGGTTGGTGAAGAATACTATATGAAAGGTTAATATCCTCTTAAAGTGCTGCATATATGTTAAATGGCCCTGCTATCCATTATTTTTGCTGGGCAGGATGTTTTTTGAATATCAGATGTCATGCAGACTCATCATGTGACAGTTATCACATTACATATAAAATGTTTGTGGTGTTCCGGTACTTGTCCATGCCTCCTGGCACATGCTTCAGATGGATGTGTGCCATTACTGATGCAGGGAGTATGACTGTTAGTCACCAGAATTGCTTCAGTCACTGGGAGTAACCCGCAGACAGTGTCACAAGGATGCCTCACACTGAAACAAGAAGTAGCCTAGTGCCCCAAATCACCGTAAATATCACAGAATTTCCTCAAAAGAAATTTAATAAGTCTGAAATAATTAGTAGCAGGAGGAGGTGCTGGGCATTGAGATAGGGAACAGCATAATTGTCAACAGGATGTTAAAGGGAACCTGTGAGAGCAGAATTATGGGAGATGACATTGCTGACTTGCTTTTTTTTTGTATAATCTTTATTTTCCTTTTTTCACAAATAGTCACATTTACACAAGAACAATAAAGGGACTAAAGTGGGTCCAACATAGACCCCGGACAGTAAAAAAAAAAAAAAAAAAAGGGAAAAAAAATAAGAAAAAAAAAAAAAAAAAAAAATGGAAAATAAATAAGTAAATAAAGAAAAAAAAAAAATAAGGGCACAGATATACAATGACATACAAAACCACAATGTAACACAATAAGCGGGTTTGTCGCCCGGCCTCATCATTTCCTATCGCAGAAGCTCGATTTTTGCTGACTTGTTTTAAAGATGCATGGTCCAGGTTAATTTCTAGATGTTATATTCACTACATAGTAAGTCTCTGACCTTCTCACAGGTTTGCTCTAAAGTTGTCCAAGGCCACTGACTTACAGCACTGAACCAAGAGGATCAGCTGTCATTTTCAGATATGGAGCTCATCAGTGGGAGCTTCCATGGTTCCCTGATGATAAGTTACCTTTACAGGAAACCCTTCATGGGTTGCCAAATATTGACCTATGGATCATTGACTTACAGCATTGAACCAATAGGATCATTTAGCATTTTCAGAAATGGAGCTCCTCATTGGCAGCTTCCAAGGCTCTCTCATGATAAGTTACCTTTACAGATTATGGGTTGCCCATATTGATCTCTGAAAAAAATGCTAGCTGCTAGACTGTTACACTAATCAGCAGGCTTCAATCCTTGGTCTGAGACCCGCAACCTGTATGCAGATGAGGTGTTGACTTTTTTTGTGACTTTTCTTTTGTGTCGGTATCTCAAAAAGCATTGAAGACAGGAAAGTGACACCTTAATGACAACTGTAGCTTCCTGTGTCACTTTGTGCTCAGTACTCCATATACACCATGAGCATTAATCCACTAGCAAGGAACTTTTGTTCCCTATGATCCCTGTGTGTTTTGTAAAGCAGCCACCGCTCCAAGCTTGCTCCCGTGATGGACTACAATCTCATGTTTAGTTTACTAAATTGTATTGAGATTGTAGTCCATCACAGGAGTGAGCTTGGAGCGGTGACTACTTTACAACACACACAGAGACCATGGGGAACAAAAGTAGCCACCCTCCAGGAGGAAGGACAGTGTCAGCACCAATTCAGAGATGATTTGAGGTGTTTGTGTGATACACAAATAAGATACATTTTGTTAACAATTAGGGTACTTGAATGCATTTTTAAGGTTTAACTCCTGAGTTTAGTATCAATTTAAGTTTCTTCCCTTCTGTGCAGATCACATCTCTAGTGACATGCATAAGGCCTCATTCACACACAACGCAAGCAAAATTGTATATTGCGTATATATGCGTCTATGCGCGTATATACGAGCATATATGCGTGCACTATATCCAATCCGAGAATGCATCACTCGTAAGGGAATTTTTAATGTGCTGTACGCATGTATGCGTGTAAATACGCAGAAATACGCTGCCCGGACGCATCTCTGTTCCATTCTGTTTTTGCGCATATATACGCTACGCAAATATTTGGCTCCATAGGCGGCTGTGTGTATGGAGCCATTTATTTGCATATTTTGCATATTGTACAACACGCACGTACGTGCGTATACGCGCGGCAGTGTGAATGAGGCCTTAGAGTGATGATGGTGGTTACATGCCTACCATATCATATGCCTTTTTTATTTGCAGACATTTATTTATGTATTATAGGTATTTATAAGGCCGGCATGTACAGCTCCGTGCTGCGTGCACGGCTGTATCGGACATCTCCCGGGAAGGACAGGTGCTGCGTGTGATTAGTACGGAGCCCCTGTCCTTCTCTATGGGAGAACGCGGCCGTACGCCGCCCCCTATGCTTCCCGGGAGCTGCCCGATACGGCCGTGCTGTACGTGCCGGCCGTTACTCGTGTGTATGAGGCCTTAAACTGGAACAAGTATAGCTAAACGAGGGCGGGGTTCCAAATCAGCTGTCACCCTAAAATAATTCTGTTTTAACATTTTTACCCCAGCAGTTTGATAACAATGTACACCTTCAGCTATGTAATTCATTAACACCAGTCCTAAACTTCATGGCACCATGGCGAAGGAATTATATAATTAGAACAGGATGATTTCACAACTTTTACAGCCATGTCTTAGAGAAACAACATATACTTTGACACCTTTCCTGACACAATGGCGTGTATTCCTGATCCTCATTTAAACTGAGGAAGCCACTTAGATGAGTGAATATTCAACATTACAGAGCAAGTCCTGTTAAATTTGTCCCACCACTACTAGCTGTAATGGCTTCTACCACAGCCCCTGCTCACAATGGTGGTGGATGCAGGTATATATACAGGACTCGTCTACCTTCTTATCAATCTATTCATGAATATATGTAAGAACTCTGATCTCTTATGGTCATATATCAATTTCTTGTAAATCCCCTTATAGCATGTGAAGGTGAAAGAGGAATAATGCAGAGAGGCCAAACCCAGTAAAACTATACACCTCAATATTATAGGTTCTATTCCTTCCTATGCAGAGTAGAGCAAGGAAATTCATTAATAAGATAGCGATCCCAGACAGAACTGAAATGTAACTATTAGGCTCCATTCAAACCAATATTTTAGGTGCAAATAGAGATTCCTGCTGCAGGAAATCACGAGTTACTGACGCAGGCATCCCTAAAATATAGGTGTGAATGGAGCCGTATTGTATAAGCGATGTAAATGAATAATTACGGACACTTTGATTCCATTATAGAGCTATGTACTAAATGTAAAATGTTGAGCCATTTGTTGTCTCATTATCTCATTTAGCAAAGCCAACCAACAAACTTCAGTTTGGCTGTTGTGGTGGGTTTTCTGTGGGTGCTCCAGTATCTGCCTATATTAAAAAATGAGGGACTGTATTCCAAATTGGCTGAGGATAGTGTCAGGGTCGGATTTCCCACAAGTCTAACCAAGGCCCGGCCTCGGGACAGCAGGGAGTAGAGGGGCAGCAGGGGTGGGGAATTCCTATCTCCCGATGCCCAGGACATGCAGTTCTGGGCGCCGAGCGGGTAGTTGTTTGCTACGTTTAGCCCTGCTTTGGGCAAGCAGAGCTAAATGTACAGCGGGGAAGCCGCCGCTTGTTTTGTACAAGTAATCACGGCGCTGTCGCTGAGATAGATAGTGTGCCTGTTATAGTGTGATAGTTTTACATAAGAAGTTATACAAGTGTTCTGTTCATTTAATTGTGCAGGTGAAACTTGCTGTACATCAGCACCCTCTTCTGGTGCAATATAAATCCAAAATGTAATTCCTTTACAACTATTTCCTATAAAAGAAACCTCCTGTTCTGTATGTCTGCCAATATGTCAGGCAGCACATCATAGAGCAGGGGTGCCCATTAGGTAGATCGTGATCTACCAGTAGCTCTCAAAGCTAAAACTGGTAGATCACGAAGGGTGTGAATGGTGGCCCCTTTCCTCCATTTTGGTATATATATTTAGTTGTGTACACATGATTACCTATTAGCCTGAGTCTGCTTAGCCCAGCTCCCTGACACCTTTCTGGGGGATACTGGTGGTTGAAGTGCTATGTATTACATCAAAGAATATTAATTTACACAGCCTGTTGCAAAATACAGCAAGGTGAGCCAGGAGAGAGAGCGGGAAGAGACAGCCAGGGGAGAGAGCGCGAGGAGAGACAGCCAGGGGAGAGAGCGCGAGGAGCGACAGCCAGGGGAGGAAGCAAGGAGAGACAGCCAGGAGAGAAAACAAGGAATGACAGCCAGGAGGATGAGGAGAGACAGCCAGGGGAGAGGGAGGGAGGTTTTTTTGTTTTGTTGGTAGATCGCATGTAGCTCGTCATTTGAAAAGTAGATCTTAAAGTGACATTAAACCCTCAGATTTTTTAACATATGCCCAGCATGAGAACAGATACAGATTTAAAAGGAAGAGCAGCAAAGAGAAGGGAAACTACCATGGATTACAGTAAGGCGCACATTACAGTATTGTTTTATGTTAAAAAATCTGGAGGGTTTAATGTCACTTTAACACAACGATTGTGGGCACCCCTGTCATAGTGTATGTAGGACCATTTGCTAATGAGCTTATATCCATACCACCTGCATAACTACTCTAGGACCCATATGCTGTAATAAAGTAAAAACTAAAGCATTACATATGTACAATGTAACACGGTTTGCTTTTATCCGCTTTTCATTTTTGGAAGAAAAAAAAATATCTCATAAATTTGATTAGCCTTAAGCCGAAAATTAAAACCTTTCCAAGTAAACACTGTAATTGGGTTCTGTTGTAAACCATACAGGTGATTGCATAATAACCCTTTCAATGTGCAAAATGTTTAGGATGAAAATTTGACTTTAGCTGCAGAAATTTGTAGAGCAGACAAAACTGCAGCTTTCAGGGCTTGTTCACACCATGTCCGGATCATGTTCAGAAGAGTTTGTTTCAGGACCAAAAAAGCATGTGTGTGTTGTAAAGTAGTCACCGCTCCAAGCTCACTCCTGTGATGGACTAAGGCTGGGTTCACACCTGGGCATACGGAATATGCGCGTTTGCCGCACGTTTTTACCGTGATTTGCAGTAAAAGAAACGTGCGACAAACGCGCGTTTACGAGGGCTAGCCGGCTGTATCCTAATGGATACGCGCGGAAATACGCCCCAAAGAAGCTCCTGTACTTCTTTGGGCGTAGGGCGAAGTACGCCCAGGTAGGAACCCCAGGTGGGAACCATGCCCATAGGAAATAATGGGCTTTCACTTGCTGGGCGTTTTACAGCGCGTCGATCAGGGCTGTAAAACGCCCAGGTGTGAACCAGGCCTAAAATCTTATGTTTAGTTTACTAATTTGTATTGAGATTGTCGTCCATCACGGGAGCGAGCTTGGAGTTATGACTACTTTACAACACACACAGGAACCATGGGGAACAAAAGTAGCCCCCCTCCAGAAGGTAGGACAAGGTTAGCACTAATACAGAGATGCTTCGCACGTTCAGAGTGTTTTTTAACGCCAGCATGTAGCAAAAAATTTAAACACCTCTATTGCTTGTTTGTTTGTTTGTTTTTACCAATTGCCATTTATTTAGCCAGGGCCTCTATCTTCTTTTTTTTTTTTCATCAGGACCTCAACATGGATGTGGTGGTTATCTGACTAATACCACCGGTCATTTCAGATCACCAGACTTCAATAATGATGGGAAATATGACAAGAACCTGAACTGTGTTTGGACTATCACAGCTTCTGTAAACAAACAGATAAAACTGACATTTACAGGCTTTATACTGGAATCGGAGACCATGAGAACATGTAGATATGACTATGTCAAGGTAAGCAGACAAACATCCTGTACATCCTGTATCTTTTCTTCTACTAGCAGTGCAGAGGTGAGCAAACTGATCCGCTGATATTCATCCCAAATGTATCTGATTCACACATGGCAGAAATCGGAGAATAGAACTCAATCAGCCAATATCTAACTTGTAACCTTTTTTCAATTTCCAATTTATTTTTTATAAAAGGGAGGGGGCGTGGTAGTGCCATTCATGTAAATGGCACCACGGGCACGCCCCCTGCCCACATCGGATCGCGAGGTATGGGAATGCCCTCCATTCCGGTCAAGCGTGATCTGAAAAAATAGTGCTTGCAGTATTATTGCAGATCGCACTGGACCAGGTGATTGTGCTGCGGGCGGGGTGTGCGGCTGCTGTGCCATTGACTTCACTACACCACCACACCCCCTCCCGCCCCTCTTCGCAGCAGGAAGCCGGCCAGAATACAATACAGTGCATTCCAGAGGCTGACCGCTCTGGAACGCATTGTTTATGGTGTGAACCGGCCCGAACACCAAGGGCTGTGCACACCTGTGCAATCAAGTGCTGACCACTACCAAAACATGGAGCAAGGAATGGAGATATCCCTCCCAACTTTCTTTGAAATCTCCTGGTTTATGGGTTGCCCAGCAGAATTCACAAAAACCCTTGCTTCCCGACACCTCTCAGTCCCTCTAGCTGAGAGTCCTGGACGATCATAACACCCAATTCTACCGGGGGATTGCCACACAATACCACACAGCATAAAGCACAAGGCACACAGAATGGTGCCCTCTGGCAAGATGAACATGACTGTGCAGGCCTCACAGCATTCTGATACCAGTATGTGTGTCCTTTAGCATCTTCTTCAAGAAGGTGGCCCAAATGATAGACTTTCTAAGTTCTGAAGGACACTAGGCTCTTCTTCACCACCAGTGCTCCAAAAGATGGTGTGGGAAGGTGTGTTTGGGGGAAATTGGGAGCATCTTACCTGACCGATGGGAGTAGGCAATTTGCTTCCTCACCTTGGTGTTGTAGTCAAGGGTTCCCAAAGTGCTGGATGCTGGGATAAAAGTGTTGTTTTAGATATAATTTCACCCTCATCTGTTCACCAGTATCATGAATGATAAAAAGATATCCACAGAATCTTCTGCCTTCATGTGTCCTATGCTACTCATCTCTTAATTTGAAAAACCCTTTCAGGGGGCTACATTTGGAAGTGCCAACCCCTCCCACATGGTTACTGTTAAATTTCCAGAAGCACATCGACTGATTTTCATAGAGAATCATATTTAATATTAAGGGGACTTTGCAATGTTGAGTAAATCCTATGGATCAGTAACTCAGGCTGTCTAATGGTTCAAACATTTGGAAAACCATTGTGGTTGCAAATACAACAAAGAAAATGATCTGATTTCAATGGTCAATCCACATAAGACTGATATTTTCATTATAAGTGGAAGTTGGTGGATTGGGGTATTGGAAAAGTGAGATCTCCGTGAGATCAGCAGCTACCAAAACCTAGAAAATGTTGACCCTTTAAAAATTGGTTAGAAAGAAATTACATGAATTAGAATGACTATAAACAGAAGTGTTTCTGCTAATAAAGAAGCCCATAAAACAAAATTAGAAGTGACCCATTGGGAACAATCAGATACTTTGTTTTATCTCTGTCTATAATATGAACACTGATTGGTTATTATAAGAAGGTCTTTTTTCATAAAAAAGGTCCCTTTGCATTCTCTACCATTTTCTAGGTCACCATGTTGATCATCTTTTTTTTTCAATGACACTGAAATTTGCTGAGACTTTTGTTGTGAGAGGATTGTTCAGTTCTCTATAGAAAAATGTGAGTGATTACCCATTGGTTGGTTGCTCATTCTTCCAGAGAAGCCAGTGAACTTGAGTACTCTTTATCATTGTACTAGTAGAACCTCACCTTAACTTTTAACAGGATGGGGTTGTTATCCATTAAAAAAACTTGACCTGGTATCACTGATTATCCCTGATTATCTAGGCCATTGCTGTGGACTTTTCTGACATGGGTGACCCTACTGACAGCTATATTACTACATGTATAGCTCTTAGGATCATTTCATCTTAAGTCCCACCACTATGTGAAAGTAGCAATACCTTTGGGAGTGTTATGTTATATGGCCATTGCAAATGTAAATAGGGCTTCCTAGAGATATTTTTTTACTTTTGAGGTCAAAGACTTTGCTTTTATATTTTGTGTTCTGATATTAGCATTGTTTCTTGTAGATCTTTGATGGTAGCAGCACAGACAGTAATCTACAAGGTACATTCTGTGGCAGCAATACACCTGCAAATTTCACCTCTACCTGCAACCTTCTGACAGTCTGGTTTATTAGCGACTCAACAGTGGAACGGGCAGGATTCAATGCCACGTATGAGATCACTGACTGTGAGTAGTAGTACACAACTGGGGAGTGAATATGTAAGTGACAGAAAACTGACAGATTTGTAAATCCTGTTTGGGAGATCCCGCCTCTGGAGTCACTTTCAAAAGTAAAAGTCCCACCTATGAGCAGGCACTAAAAAAGTACCTGCCATTACCTCTCTAGTCTCTTCCAGTGTTCCTGGTAGACATGTGAGTTTCGGACGAATTTCTTTAAATTCGGAAATTCGTAAGCCTCTGAATTTCTGAATTCGAATGAATGCAATTGTTTTTTCCCTAATTTTTTCCAAAATTACAAATATCCAATTCTAATGACCAGTACGGACTAAAATGACCAGTACAGACTATGATGACCAGTGCGGAAAGAGATGACCAGTAAGAAATAAGACAACCAGTAGGTACTAAAATGACCAGTACAGACTAAGATGACCAGTACAGACTAAGATGACCAGTACGGACTAAAATGACCAGTACGGACTAAAATGACCAATACGGACTAAAATGACCAGTACGGACTAAGAGGACCAGTACAGACTACAAGGACGAGTACAGACTACGATGACCAGTATGGACTAAGAGGACCAGTACAGACTACAAGGACCAGTACAGACTACAAGGACCAGTACAGACTAAGAGGACCAGTACAGACTAAAATGACCAGTACAGACTAAGAGGACCAGTACGGGCTAAGAGGACCAGTACGGGCTAAGAGGACCAGTACGGACTAAGAGGACTAGTACGGACTAAGAGGACCAGTAGGGATTAAAGGACCAGTGCGGACTAACATACCCAGAATAGACTAAGATGACCGGAACCCCCTCCCCCCCCAAAAAATAAAAATTAATTCATTTTTTTAATTAAAGAACCCCATCTTAATTGACCAGAACGGAAAAATACAAATTTGGATTGACCTGAACCGAAAAAACAAAACATTCAGACGGATCTGAGCCGAAAATAAAAAATTAAAATTAATCAGAATTTCAAATATTAGAATTGATCCGAAACAAGACACATTTTTGAGCTCTTACATGTCTAGTTCCTGTTTTCACTTTACTCCTAAGGGCTCGCCTTCCATAAGTATGCCCCACCTGTCCAATGACGGTGACCTATCTAGTCACTAAGGAAGGCCTTAAATTTGGGGAAGTGTGACCAGAGGAGGGCACAAAAGAGGCTTTTCTGATTAACAAAGTAATATTACATTATGGCGCCCGTAGTTAGTCAGAACTTTTACTTCTAAAACTGGAACACATTGAACAGGTTGAACAGGTTTACTTTAATATTACATTGAAGGACGCAAGATGTTGTAATTCGTTTTGGCTACTGAACTCCTGAAGTCAGTGGTTATTAGTTGGACTTGATGGACTAATGTCTTTATTCAACCTCAAATACTATGTAACTAGTATGGGCTTGTTGTGCTGAAGTCCTGGGCTTCAACCCCACCAGGGCACTGCCTGCTTGAAGATTATATGCTTGTGTACCATCTTTGTTTTTTCCCACAATACAAAATATGTTTGTACATAAGTTGTTTTTTGACCTTGGTGGGTGGCCCTGTATGACTGTCATAGCGGCAATACATTGTAGGTATGTCTGTGATATCAAAATAAATTCTTTTGTTTCATTTACAGTACTATGTGGGGGCATCTATAATGCAACATCTTCTGTAACCACGATGACACCCCCGGAGTCCTACCCGCCATTCACTTCTTGTCTCTGGACTATTGATTCCCCACCACAGGAGAGTGTGAAGCTGACAATTCAGAACTTTCACCTTCCACCTGACCTGGACTGTTCTGAGAATTATCTGGAGCTCACAGACTCACCTGTGGTACTTCAGCTTCTTTTCTTCATGAAATTAAACCGATGAGCATGATGTTCTGGTAGTACATTGCCTTGAAGTGCTGAGGTCCTGGGTGCTCAATCACACTTTCTGCATGGAGTTTGCATGCTTTCCCACTTCCCACTGCTTGTGTGAATTTCCCCCAGGCACAAACTGGTAGTTTAAATGGCTTCTAGACAGAATTCTCCATAGCATGCTATTTGGCTAAAGGCATTAGATAGTGAGCTGCAATTGTTTTTCGGTATCGAGTACGAGTACCGATATTTATATTTCAGTACTCACCGATACCAGTACCGGTACTTCCGGTAGCATAGAGCCGGCTTCCCAGGCAATCAGGAAGCCAGGCGGCGTGTCATTACCCACCGCCCGGCTTCTTGATTGCCAGGGAAGCGGACTCCATCTGTTTGGCCGGCTGGATGCTGATTGGCCGGGAAGCTGGCCAAACAGATCTGACAATATGGTGACACGACCCCCACCCTGCAGGCGCTTCATTCCCCTCACATACATCCTTAGCAGCATTCATTACCATTCCATCTGCACACTATCTATCCTGTTGCTGATATCCAGGCATCTCAAGAACATGTGATGTCACTCTTAGGCCTCATTCACACAGCGTTAAGCATGCACGCCTGTATTGGGCCGTTCCCGGGAGGGACAGGTGCTGTGTGCAGCATTCTGCTCTTCCCTATGGGAGGACGCGGCCATACGCAGTCATACGCATACCCGAACTGCACACCCATGCGGGTCCGGGTGTCCGTGCTCGGACACAGACAGGATCCAGGACATGATAGGACAGTCCCGGTGTGCGTACGGACACGTCTTCCCATGGGGAAGAACAGGCTGCTGCATGCAGCACCTGTTCCCCCAGGGAACACCCCGGACGTGCACGCCACATGGACATGTACGGCCCGACTTAACGCTGTGTGAATGAGGCCGAAGTATGAAAGGTTCACTAATTTTAGTATATTAGCCGAGTGCTGGGGGTGAGGAATATTCTGCTACTCTGCATGAAGTCATAGCAGACTGAGCAGAGCCTTTCTTACTCTTTAGGTTTTAGCTGGAATGGTGAAATGAAAAAGCGGTGTAAACCAAAGTGATATCCTGTGTCTCAAGTTCATTGGATTGTCCAAACATGTTAAAGAACCCCTGGAGTAAAAAAAAAACATACCCCGGCACTGCAAGGGTTAAGTGCTCTTTTTTTTTCTAGAGGACTCAAATAAAGCAGATATACTTACCTGATCCACGGTCCTGCCAGGCTGCTAGACCAGTCTTTTGGAGCCTCTTCTCCCCTGTGCTCTGGCAGTCTAAGGACCACTGATGTCATCACCTCTAATGGAGAGAGAGAGAGAGAGAGAGAGAGAGAGAGAGAGAGAGACTGCTTTATTTGAGCCCCCAGAGTTCATCTTTAACAACAGGTCAGAGGGTGGACTTCAGGTTCCTGATCTACAATGCCTAGGAGCTGAGTCTAGATGGAATAAATCACAGGAGGCAACTCAGTACACATGTTGGTGGTCAAGGCATATTAGCACAATGGCTCAAACTTCGAATTCAGTGTTCTTATCATAGCTACCTATTGCCTTCCATTGCTTGCCCTGGTGGAAAAGTGGCCAAACAGTGATGGCATTGTTTTTTTTTTTTTTTTTTTATATATCTATCAAAGTGCAAAATGCGGCCTTACATTTATAAATGAATTTATACTGTGTGTTCATATCTAATTTATGCAGATTTTAAGTATTTATTGTGTTGTCTGCAGGGTGACTTTGGGCAGGTCCAGAAGTTCTGCGGGAATGACACATTTAAAATTCCCGACTTTTACTCTATTGGGCGTACAGCTGCCGTTACATTTAGGTCACAAGAATACACACTGGGAAATCAGCTCAGCTTCACCTATCAAGTAGCAAGTAAGTGTCTTCCCCAAATGTTCATTAGCAATTTTTATACAAAGAAACCTAATATATTGGCAAAGTAAATGTATGGGTAATAACATGATCCTTTTGTCTACCGCAGGCTGTAGTCGAGAATATAACCAGTCATTTGGATATCTAAAAAGCCCACGTTGGCCAGGGAATTATCCAGATAACATAGAATGTACAACAATCCTCCGCGCTCCACACAGCCACTCCATATCTCTTTTCTTCAGTGCCTTCCATGTCGAGCCATCATCTTCTGGATGTCATGACTACCTCGAAGTAAGATGCGTCTGTGATAAATCACTGCATAGCTGGGCATTTTTATTAAACGCTGTGCTTATTACCTATAACAACCAATCTGTGGTCAATTTCCCTTACTATGATAAGTGAATAAAAAGGAGAATCTGATTAATTCCCGTAGGCAACAGACACAGTTCTGCTATTTTATTTACTGTTCAGTTTGCCTAAATTGTTTGTATAGCAATATGACTATTCTATCCATACCAACTAGATTCTCTATATTGTTTCTAAAGCTGACCATGTATATGAGATGGAAGTCAGAAGATTTGATTGCTACAGCATCTTACTACATAAACAAGTATTTTCTATTAGTCAGTGCTTAGTGGAGGGCTCTCAAAGCCAAGCGGCCGGGTGGGACATTCAATGATGGACCTCAATGTTGATACAGAGGGGGCTGCTGTTCCGTCGCAGGTTGGGAAGCCTCAGAAAACATGTAAAACAAAAAGAGAGAAACGGCGCCTTCTCCTCATGTAAAAACGTTTATTAGTCCAACAATAACAACTGAATATAATGATACTCGCAAACGGTGTCTAAATACAGTAAGTGTTTCTCAATGTACCGAAAAGGCCGGCATAAACTACATAGGACTACCGAACATGTGGACTAGAATCTTAATCTTTCTGACCCGTTTCCAGGATAATATCCTCTTCATTAGAGTAATTTGCTCATTGAGAAACGCTTGTTTAGACACCGTATGTGAGTATAAATTTATTCAGTTTTTATTGTTGGACTAATAAACGATTTTACACGAGAAGGCGCCGTTTCTCTCTTTTTGTTTTACATAAACAAGTAGGATCGGTTTGGGCACGGGTGCATATTTAGATAGTAGATAACGCTGGAACTAATGGTGACTCAGAGAAATGTGATTGACAGCAGCAGTGGGCAGATGCAATAGCCAGCCTGCTATCGGCTATTGCAAATTAAAATAGCCAATAGCAATCTAGCTATTCATTTCAAAAGCCGCTATCTTATAGCGTGAGACTCCAGGAACGTCCGGGAGAGTTGAGATGTCTGCAATACCATGTCCAAAAGTTTATAAACGTGTGAGGGTCAGGTGTCCACAAATATTTGACCATATAGTGTCCATTTAAAACATACATAAAGCAAGAAAGACGTACAGCAAATTGCATTATAACTAGCACCTCCACTGAGGTGAATGGCAGGAAGTTGAGTTTACATCCAATCACGTAAAGGGGATTTGAATAAAATTGCTCAATGTCTTGGTTGAATGTCTGAATTAAACATTGGTTCTCTTTAAACCTCTTCATGCTTTAGTAAGTCATCCTAATGTGTGATCTGATAATGATCTGACCGTGAATCTCTGTTTTCTTTACTTTCCAGGTGAGGAATGGCAGCTCTTCTGATTCCCCATCTCTTGGCACCTATTGTGGGAATAGTCTTCCTAATCCGATATTTCCTAAAAATAATGTTCTCCATATCCTGTTTAAATCAGATTTTTCTAGATCTTTCCAGGGATATGAAATCATTTGGACATCATCTCCATCTGGTAAGCGGTTCCTAGACAATAATTATTATACATGCATTACAGCAAATCTCCATTTCATTGATATCAAAGCTTACTTGAAAAAAACATCAATGTTATGTAGTGAGCGCTGCCTTCTGTTTGCTCATCACTTTCACCAACTTCCTGAGTGTGCTTTGTGTCTCTTTCCCTGCTGCTTGATGTGATCTGGCTTTGTCAAGACTACATACCCCATCATGCATTGCGTCCAGCAGGCAATGATGATGTTACATTGTTCAGACATTGAGTTGTAGTTCAGAAGGCAGGCTCTGTGAGTGGTGACTCAAGAAAGTGCAATTTCACAGGGCTGAGCAAAATGTTGTCACTGCATTGAGGAAGTACATTCTATGGGCATATTTATTAAAGTATCTTCTACCTTTTCGGGGAAACACGGTAGGTCAATATGTTTGGTAGGTAGGATGGGACTTATGGAAATACATATTTATTATTAGTCATTGACCATACATACCTTTTATCACACAATATCTGCCCCTACACTGGTATCGGTTTTATGTGAATTTCTGGAACCTGTGATCTAAACCGAAGTCATCTTATTTTGTTGTATACGCTTGAACATTACAGGTTGCGGGGGGACTCTGTTCGGTGATCAAGGCACATTTAGCAGTCCCGAATATCCTGGCAGTTACAGTAACAACACAGACTGTGAATGGACGATTGTGGCTCCCATGAGAAGAGCAGTACGAGTACAGCTTGCAGCATTTAGCATCGATGACCCCGGAGACTGTGCCAATAATTATCTCAGCTTTTACGATGGACCCCTGTCTAGTTCTCCATTACTTAGGACGCTATGTGGCCTGGTAAGCTTTCGTCTGAATTCTTCACCTTTTAAAAGAAACGAATTGAGGGAAATATGCTTTTGAGTATATTTTTTTGAAAATTGAGTCCCATAGCTCACCCATTTCTGAAAATGTTAGACACCTGGCTGTGGATCCTCTGGCTTCAATGTTCCAACTCACTGGTCTAGGTCAAGTATGCAGCCAGTGAACAAAGGTCAGCAATGGCAGCCTACATATATATTTTTATATGAGTTTCCGATAACCTATCTGCTATGGGTTTAGTTTAAAGTCTATGTAAACCTGAACAATTAACTTCTATTTGCCACCTTTTGCTCTGTTAAATATACTGTTGAAGCACAGGGGCGTCCCTAGCTTATTTGCTGCCTGAGGTGGCTGGGGAAGGGGGCATGTTGGGGTGTTGCTGGATGTTACACAATTAGGGCCAGTTCACACTACAAATAGTGCGTTCCAGAGCAGACAGCCTCTGGAATGCACTGTATCGCAACCCGGCGGCCTCCCTGCATTTAGGGGCGGGAGGGGGCGTGGCGGTACATGGAAGTAAATGGCACCGCATCCATGCCCCCCGCCCGCAGTACGATCGCCCAGAAGTGTAGGGCTCTGCAATGCTCCGCCAAGCTTATAGCCTGGGATTGTCTTGCCAGCATCCTGCTGAGTTCCTGGTAACCATTGGCATCACTGGTTGCCAGGAGCTCAATAGCACACTGGCAAGAGTGTCCCAGGTTACTAAGAGCTAGGCGGGGAGTTATAGAGCCCTTACACATCTCCCCACTCAGCTCTTAGCCACCTAGGACACTCTGGCTAGAAAGGGGGTGGCAGGCACACTGCAAGCATTGTGCAGCAGAACGGCCATGCCACTCTACTTGCCTCCCCCATGTGATTTAAAGAGTTACTGCCTGAGGCAACGTCCTCAGGCTGCCTTATTATAGTGAGAGCCCTGGTTATGGAGGAGGGTTCTGTAGTCTTGCACTAGGATGACAGTGCTGCTCATCCATAGATACAGCACAGTGAAAGAGCATTGTCACCCTAAGGCAGGACTACAGACCCCCTTCCCAGGAACTTGCTGGCAGGATCACCAGGTAACAAACAAACAAAAAAAAAACTGGTAAGTTGTAATATATTACACTTTGGTTCTTGGGTTGACATACACTTTAAGGGCACGCTCACACCAGCTGTGTTGGGCTGACCCAGACAGCCTTGCCAAGCACATTCTTAATGCATAGACAAGGCAATCTGCAATCCACTTCTTCTAACCTCACTGAGACCAATAGAACGGCACCGCAGCCTACACAGAGCACACCAATGGCTGCGTTCTAACAGTGCTGTTGGTGTGAAGGGGCCCTAGAATCTATTTTTATGGTGTGAGTGTCATCTAGAGACCAATATGAGAATTGCAGCAGCTCATGTACTAATTGTGAATTCACTGGATGTATGAACTTCAAAAAATTGAAGACAGTTTAACTTGAAAATGTGTGGGACCTTTTCTGTTATGTGGCAGAGTGCATGTAGTTTGATGCAATATCTGCGGCGGTCAGTGCAAGGAATCCACAAATGAAGAGGAAATAATCTCATTGCAAAAAGCATCTGAAAACCACAGATCGCATTTGAATAGTGATTTTCCAGATAGTTAAGGGACATTTCTAAAAGCAGAGAGACATATGATGCTGCATTTGCTGTAAATGCTATTTTACTGGCTGTTATGTCGTTCCTTTGTCTTTAATATTTCTGAGTCACTGACCCAGAGCGGTTAAGCATATCAGGAGTCATAGTAAAGGCAGAAGTTTTCATTTGCATATTTGTTCTGGGTTAACAGGTAACTATCAGGGCAAGAGAGTCAGTATAACAGCCAGGCAACTGGCATTTGCACAGTGAGACGTACACAATGGCAGCCTCCTTGTTTCTTTCAGAAAAGGCTTCTTTTCACAGCTAGTATATGCCACTGTTTAAAGAACTCCAGGCAGAAATAATCCTAACCCTTGCAGTGGTGCGAGCCCTGCACTGCAAGGGTTAAGTGCTCATTTTTTGTCTGGGATGTAAAATAAAAAAAGATATACTCACCAAAATCTCAAACCTGATTGGCTGCTCAACCGGTTCCTGCAGCCTCTCTCTCTCCCTCCACCTCAGCTCTCTAAGAACCTGTGAGTCATTATGCCCAATTCAGTGTATTGGAGGTGAGGATGCCTAGGAACAGATGTTGGATCGGCTGAGTCGAAGCCCCTCTGCACTTCGGCTCAGCCGAACATGCAGACCGAAGGCCGCCGCACAGAACCGATGTACGGCTGATTTCAGCCATACTGAGCCGAAGTGAATAGCCGAACCTCGCTTGGCAACGTTCACTTCGGCTCGGTTATTCATTTGGCTGCCTTCACCAGCTTTGTGTATACCCCTCTAAGTTCTTGTACAAACAGTAAATTACCCAATGCTGATATTGCTATAAAAATCAATAATCTTTACCATCTCTCTTCTTTTTAGGATGGAAATATCGCCCCATTCGATAGCACGTCTCATCAGGTGTTTGTTAAATTTCACGCAGACTATGTCACACAGCCATCTTATTTTAGAGTGACTTGGAGCTCCTGAGACAATTACAATTTCTCCTACAATTCAAGACAGTCATCTGAAAATCCTGCTGAGTAGTTTATGTAACTGTATATATGTGTCTGATGGAAAAGTTCTATTTCACAATAAAGATTTTATCACAAAATAAGATTGATATGATCACATATGTAAATGTTTTAATTACACATAAAAAAGTGGCACATCCTTTCCGTGTTAACAGTCAAGTGACAAGCTGTGAGATCCAAGTAAAACTCTTGCTGCAACATTCAGTGTACTATGATATGGATAATACTGACCGCTGAGGTGACAGAGGTGTATTCATAAACTGTTAGTACAGCGAACAGCTCTGCGAACAAGAGTCACAGCATATTATGGCCACTAGATGGTGTCAAGGGGCATAAGAAATTCCTATGCTCCTCAGCTCGATCCAGTGGCCATAATGCCACTAGAAATGGGGCAGACAGGTCATTTATCTATTCTGCGGGTAATCAACTGGTAAGTGGTCAAAAATGGACTCTACTGTAAGAAATCAATGGCGGAGCAGATTATCCATGGAGTCTACACTGAGAAATCAATGGCAGGGTTCTGTGCTGGGTCCCATATTGTTCAACTTATTTATTAATGACATCGGGGAGGGTGTTAACAGCGATATTTCCGTGTTTGCGGATGACACCAAAATAGGGAGGGTAATAGACACGGACTTAGACACTATAACATTACAGGAGGACCTGGATAAAATAGGGGAGTGGGCATTAATGTGGCAGATGAGGTTTAATGTCGATAAATGCAAAGTAATGCACTTTGGAATTAAAAATAAACAAATGGGTTATACAATTATGGGTATGCCGCTGGGGAAGTCAGAAATGGAGAAGGATTTGGGGGTCATTGTAGACCACAAACTGAAAGGTAGTTTGCAGTGCCAGGCTGCTGTAAACAAAGCTAGCAGGGTCTTGTCCTGTATTAAAAAGGGGATGTATTGCAGGGACAAGTCTATAATTTTGCCACTTTATAGATCATTGGTTCGACCTCATCTGGAGTACGCGGTCCAGTTCTGGTCACCAGTACTAAGAAAAGATGTCCTTGAGTTGGAAAAAGTCCAGCGAAGGGCAACCAAACTAATTAGGGGTATGGAGGACCAGAGCTACGAGACGAGGCTACTAAATTTAAACATGTTCACATTAGAGGTGAGGAGATTAAGGGGGGATATGATTTCCATGTACAAAATGTTTAATGGTGGTAGCAACATTAGCGATAAACTGTTTAAAATTAACTCCGTTACAAAAACTAGAGGCCATCACCTAAAATTGGTGGAAAAAAAATTCCAGCACAAGGGGCGAAGGGGGTTCTTCACAGTAAGATCAGTTAGGGTCTGGAACTCACTGCCACAGGCGGTGATTTCAGCAAATAATGTGGAATTGTTCAAGAAACTTTTGGACGATTTCTTAAGGGACCGTAATATACAGGGGTACGGGTACTCCTAGAATGAGATCCTAATAGGTTGGACTTGATGGACTAATGTCTTTATTCAACCTCAAATACTATGTATGTAACTATGGAGCAGATCATCCTGGGACTCTTCTCTGAGAAATCAATGGCGGAGCAGATCATCCAAGGACTCTACTCTAAGAAATCAATGGCGGAGCAGATCATCCAAGGACTCTACTCTGAGAAATCAATGGCGGAGCAGATTATCCTGGGACTCTACTCTAAGAATTCAATGGCGGAGCAGATTATCCTGGGACTCTTCTCTGAGAGATCAATGGTGGAGCAGATTATCCTGGGACTCTTCTCTGAGAAATCAATGGCCGAGCAGATTATCCTGGGACTCTTCTCTGAGAAATCAATGGCCGAGCAGATTATCCTGGGACTCTTCTCTGAGAAATCAATGGCGGAGCAGATTATCCATGGACTCTTCTCTGAGAAATCAATGGCGGAGCAATACAAATTGCTAACTGGTTTTCCACGTATTAAAATATAGAGATCTGTAGGCCAGGTATGCTATAAACCAAAGAAATAGCTTCTGAAAATTGAGAACAAAACTGACAAACTTGTTAAAAAAAGAAAAAACAGTGGATAATTGTGTAATTATGTATTAAACTTCTTCAGGGGCCTGCTACTTCTGTCAGTTATTTTTGGGGGGAAACACAGAATTCTCTTCTCTATGAGGCCCTCTAGACACCAGGAGCGGCAACAAATCGCAGGCCAAATGCAGCCTCACAACAGCTACTACACCAGTTTTTTGAGTCACAACACCCTTTGGTAGACCTTTAAAATCAGAGTCTCCCATTCCCCATTCTCCTGAATGAATATGGGGCGCATCATCATTTTTTTTTACAGTTCCCGATGAATCCAGGCGGCACCCCACGGTGCCTCGGCACTCTGTTTCAGAAAGGCTGTACTAAACCTTTCGAAGTAAATGTTAATCTGCAATTATGTTGGAGGTGCACTTCAAACAACAACAAGGTATTGTTAGGCTTCCCCCTTACTCTCTGATGTGATACCATGAGGGAAGGTTCTTTCCAACATGTGAGGGCCCCATGGCTTCTTTGGGTGACATGATATGTAGGTCATTTAGAGTGGCCAAGTAAGCTGCTGGAGTAAGCCAGATTTATGCCAAGTGAACACAATTCACAAGAGCTAGGTGGCAGTGGAAACACCCCAGAGGATCCCCATGCAGACATGGAAGCAGAAATCAGCACTGTCAAGCTGAAGTGTATAGGACAGACCGAGCAGAGCATGGCCAGTGTACACCTGTTGTTCTTGACCTTCTTCCCCTATATAACCTGTCTTTGGACTGTTACATTTACACCAGAGACTTGTATAGCGCAGCCTTTCTAAATCAGGGTGCCATATCACTCTGGGGTGCCTTCTGGCTTTCCTCAGGGGTGCCTCGAAATTTTTCCAGAAGCCTCAGACTTTTCCTTTGTGCTAATTCGAGGAGGGTGGGTCCAATTCAGAAAATAATGGAAGTGTGCTTTTGTTCAATAGAATGAGATCCTAATAGGTTGGACTTGATGGACTAATGTCTTTATTCAACCTCAAATACTATGTATGTAACTATGGAGCAGATCATCCTGGGACTCTTCTCTGAGAAATCAATGGCGGAGCAGATCATCCAAGGACTCTACTCTAAGAAATCAATGGCGGAGCAGATCATCCAAGGACTCTACTCTGAGAAATCAATGGCGGAGCAGATTATCCTGGGACTCTACTCTAAGAATTCAATGGCGGAGCAGATTATCCTGGGACTCTTCTCTGAGAGATCAATGGTGGAGCAGATTATCCTGGGACTCTTCTCTGAGAAATCAATGGCCGAGCAGATTATCCTGGGACTCTTCTCTGAGAAATCAATGGCCGAGCAGATTATCCTGGGACTCTTCTCTGAGAAATCAATGGCGGAGCAGATTATCCATGGACTCTTCTCTGAGAAATCAATGGCGGAGCAATACAAATTGCTAACTGGTTTTCCACGTATTAAAATATAGAGATCTGTAGGCCAGGTATGCTATAAACCAAAGAAATAGCTTCTGAAAATTGAGAACAAAACTGACAAACTTGTTAAAAAAAGAAAAAACAGTGGATAATTGTGTAATTATGTATTAAACTTCTTCAGGGGCCTGCTACTTCTGTCAGTTATTTTTGGGGGGAAACACAGAATTCTCTTCTCTATGAGGCCCTCTAGACACCAGGAGCGGCAACAAATCGCAGGCCAAATGCAGCCTCACAACAGCTACTACACCAGTTTTTTGAGTCACAACACCCTTTGGTAGTATGTAAAATCAAGTCGCCGCCCCCCCTCCATTTTCTCTTCCGATCATCGCC